TTCACCATGTTGACCAGGATGGTCTCGATCTCTTGACCTCGTGATCCACCCGCCTTGGCCTCCCACAGTGCTGGGATTACAGGCTTGAGCCACCGCGCCCGGCCCAGATTGCACTTTAAAGAAGTAAGCAGACCTCCCGAATATTTTAGATTTCTTGAGAATGTGCTAAAATAAAACAACTGAGGCATCAGCTTTGCAATGTGGTTGTAGATTTATTTTTTTTTGAGACAAGGTCTTGTTTTGTTTCACAGGTTGCAGTGCAGTGGCATGATTACAAGCTTATTGCAATCTCAACCTGGGCTCAGGCAGTCCTGCCTCAGCTTCCTGAATAGCTGGGACCACAGGCATGTGTGCTGCCACACCCAATTAACTTTTTAGTTATTTGTAGGGCTGGGCCTCACTATGTTTCCCAGGTTGTAGATTTCTAATTGATGGAGTAACAGTCTTTTTTTTTTTCCCCCCTCCTGAAAGTTAGTGTTGTCTCTAGCATGGATAGTTTTTTAAATTAATAGATCTTTAAATTGCACTGAAAATGTCAACAAGAAACTGAGAGTTTGCCATTCTAAGCCCTTTTGCAGTTTTGAAATGTGTATGGGTTCTCTTGTCTATGCTAAAAAATGATTAACATGCTGGAAATGTATTGGGGGAAAGAGGTAAAAGAAAGGATTAGATACGAAGAGCACACTGGCTATGTTATTTGCTCCTCCATCTCCTGGAGGCAGGACTGAGGGAAAATTTTTGTAGAAAGGGAAAGTGCAAATACTGTCCCAGCTTTCCCACTTCCCCTTCCTCCAGTAGCCACCCTGTTAAAATCTGCTAACCTACAAAGAGGGTAGTGAGATACACTGACCCAAGAGAAAGCAAGAAGCCCACCTCCCCCAAAGGTCCCCCTGTCACATTGACAGTTCTAAGAAAGGTTTGGTCAGTCCAATGATTGTATGCAGGCCAAAGTTGCCATCTTGTGCTTCATGGACATGGGCTTGTATTTGCACTCCTGCTAGGCTCATTTATTGAGATTGTGGTTTTAAGGCAAACGGTGCATTTATGCTGTTATTCACCAGATGTGAGCAGTGCCTTTCATGGCCAGAGTTGGAAGTGGGTTATTAAAATGCTAATGAATTGAACTTGGGAATTATGAGGTCGGGGAAGGAAGTGGTGATCTTGGACACCCAGTCTGAAAGGCCAACATAAGCTAAAAGTACCTATTGTGTTCATTGTGCCAGTTAAGTAGATATGATCAGTACTCGGTATTCAGGGATAGAGGCATGTAGGTATACTGGCTGTGTAATGAAACTTTAGAGAAACACCTCAAAGAGGAAATGGCAAGAAGATCTTAGGAACACAGAAGGCAGTTGAACCCACCTAACTGATTGGCTGGCTGAAAAGTCCAGAAAACAAAGAAATGCCACTTAAGAGGTCTTTTATACTGTACTGAGGATCTTAGGCTCAAGACTGTTCTTGTGTGTAATACAGTGTCACTGAAGAACCTGATTTGCAGGAGAGAAACCAGTTTTGTAATTTAAAAATTCATTTCAGACAGGGTTTCTGTTGCCCAGCCTGCAGTGCAGTGGTGTGATCGAAGTTCACTGCAACCTTGAACTCCTGGATTCAGGCAATCCTGTGCCCAAAGTCTCCAGACAATCTGGGACTACATGTGCATGCCACCCACGTCCAGCTAATTAAAACATTTTTTGGAGGGGCCCAGGCTGGTATCTAATTTGGCCTCAAGTGATCCCCGTGCCTTGTTCTAAAGTGCTGGGATTACAGATGTGAGCCACCATGTCCAGCTCAGATTAACATTTTATCTTTCTGCTTTTTTTCCCCCCTTGGGAAACACCTGTGTTACAGATTGACATTTTAAATCCTAATGGCAGCCCAGCATAAACAAGGGAAAATCAGGTGGGGCTTTTCAGTCTGAGAATTATAACATGTTTCTGGCTATGGGAGCTGGCTGGGTAGTGGTGCACTTACAAAGCTGGGGAACCAGGAGATGGTTTTGTGAGAGGAGCACAGTTGAATTTGAAGAAGCTATAAGATGTTTACCTGTGGACATGTCCATGAAGACAGATGGGTATTTCAGTTCTGGGTTAGACATGGAGAAGTGAATGGCATTCTGAGTGGACTAGACGAGAGCAATGGAGGTGCTTACACAGTAAGTGGTAGGCACTTGAGCAAAGCAGGGAAAACAAACGGTTGAGACTGGGGTAACTCCAGTAACTCACATGTGCAATGGTAAATGAGCTTCAAAAATAAATACATGCTATTTGTTACTGGGATGGTGCAGCATTTGTAAATGTGTTTTTCTGCTCCCATACGGAAATTAAGTCAAAGGTACTCAAGTCAGTGTTGCCACAGTAAGAGTCCCGTGGTTTACAAGAAAGGACTTGCCTGGCTGGCAGCTTGTCCACTATGACATTGAAATAGCCATTCCTCCTGGCAGGGCGCGGTGGCTCACGCCTGTAGTCCCAACACTTTGGGAGGTCAAGGTGGGCAGATCACTTGAGGTCAGGGGAGACTAGCCTGAGCAATGTGGTGAAACCACATCTCTACCAAAAGTACAAAAATTGGCGGGCGAGGTGGTGGGCGCCTGTAATCCCGGCTACTTGGGAGGCTGGGGCAGGAGAATGTCGCTTGAACCTGTGAGGCAGAGGTTGCAGTGAGCCAAGATAGCGTCATTGCACTCCAGCCTGGGTAACGAGTGAAACTCCGTCTCAAAAAGCCTTTCTTTAGCAATACTGTTGTTACAGGTAGGAGCTCACGATGACCGGTTCCATTCTTCATTCACAAGAGCAATTCGTTTGTAGTACTGTGGTGGAAAGAGCACGTTTCCTAAGTCAGAAATGTGGTTTGGAATCCCAGCTTCCACCAGTTGTGGGATGGTAGACACATAAGTGAGTCTTTGCTTGTAAAACGGTAATACTTAAAAACAGCACCCTATCCTCGAATCTGAGTCTATAACCTCCATCCACAGTTTGTAACTCTTGAGATTTTCTTTCTTTCTTTTTTTTTTTTTTTGAGACGGAGTTTCGCTTTTGTTACCCAGGCTGGAGTGCAATGGCACGATCTCGGCTCACCGCAACCTCTGCCTCCCGGGTTCAGGCAATTCTCCTGCCTCAGCCTCCTGAGTAGCTGGGATTACAGGCACGCGCCACCATGCCCAGCTAATTTTTTGTATTTTTGGTAGAGACGGGGTTTCACCATGTTGACCAGGATGGTCTCGATCTCTTGACCTCGTGATCCACCCGCCTCAGCCTCCCAAAGTGCTGGGATTATAGGCGTGAGCCACCGCGCCTGGCGAGATTTTCTTTCTTTTCCACCCCTTCGTTTCCCAGTACAGTAGTTTACCTATTCAGTTCCCACAGGATGACTTACAGCTCAAGTGTTTGACTGTAGTTTCACTTCAGTGTCATGAGCCACGGGGATCTCTCCCTATTTCCCATTTAATGTAGTTCCTTACGGCCCGGTTTTGAAGGCGTTTCCTTAATGGCCAGGATGCCCCGTATCTCAGGTGCAGGGGCAAGTCTTGGTTGGAAATTAAAAGATGGAGTTGAGCAAAACAGTAAAGGGTGTATCATTGATTTTGTAGGAAATGGCCTTATTTAACTAACGGGCTGACTCAGAATAAGTAAATGAAAGTATTCCACTCACCTTTTCGAACAAAGGACTACACTGAGAGATTCTGCGGAGGGTTAGATGTCCGTCTAAACGCCTGGCACCCAGTAGGTGCATGTCGCTTCGGTAAACGAAGGACCTGAAAGACTCCCTCAGACACCCACTAGCCGCCAACGCCCATCAGCCTGCCTTCCCCCACAGCCCAACTCACGTGGGCCGCCGAACAGCATTTATTGGCCGCTTCGCGCAACGCGACGCGATGAAGCGATCGCGCCCTCGTCTTGCGCGGGAACTTCCGGTGGGTGACGCTGTCCAATCGGAAAGCAGCTTCCCGCCCGACCGGGCCTCCGTCGGCCCGAGCGGCGAGGGGCGGGGCCGGCGCGGCGCAGAGGCGTCACGCACTCCATGGTAACGACGCTCGGCCGGAAGATGGCGGCCGAGTGGGGCGGAGGAGCCGGTTACTCGGGTTCAGGCCCCGGCCGGAGCCGGTGGCGCTGGAGCGGTTCTTTGTGGGTCCGAAGCGTTTTCCTCCTGTTGGGCGGGCTGCGGGCAAGCGCCACATCTACTCCCGTCTCCTTGGGCAGTTCCCCTCCCTGCCGGCACCACGTCCCCTCTGACACTGAGGTAGGGCGACAGAGGGGCGGGAGCGGGCCCTCTCGGGTCAGAGTCCTACGGAAGGAGCAGGCAGAGGAGACAGTGGCTGGGAGAAGGTGTCCTGGATGAGAAAGCGAAACTGGGGCAGAGTCTGAACTCTTCCAGGCCTGGGACCCGCGCTCAGCTCGCTGCAAGTTGGCTCTTGGGCACACAACATCATCACTTTTGTGCGGAGGGTATGCTTAGCAGGTAGCGCTGGATGAGTGTTTTCCAAACTTGAGCGTGCGCGGTAAGCTGACGCACACGTTAAAAGGCAGATTGCTGCCCTCCGCCCCGCACGGAATGACTCAGTAGGTCTGCGCTGAGTCCCGAGAATTGACAAATTACGTTCCCAGCTGGTTAGTGATGTATGCTTGTGCGGGGACCGCTTTAGTAACCGCTGACCTGAAGTTTTGGGGAGACCTTGAGCCGGGAGCCAGAGGCGTTAGGGGACGTTGGGGGTTCACTGGAGACAAAATTCAGGCTTCTTTTCATGTTATGTCATCATTTTGTTTGCTTTACCCGGTTCCTCTGTTCTGGAAGTGTCTGCCCGCCTCCCATCCCATGTTTCTCCCTGCCTAAATTCTTTGTCTCAATTCAAGTTCCCAAACTTCAAGGCAGCCTGCCGAAACCACCGAAGCAGAATGTTCTTTTCATTAAAAAGTACGTCGTATCTGTACTCTCTCCGGGCACTTACCCAAGTACTGCTGTGTGGTAATGGCTTCCTTTCTAGGCATATCTTGCCTTTGCAGCAAAATTTTAAGTGTCCGGGGGATAAGGTTTGTGTTTCATACTTTGATTCCTTCACAGTATTTAGGTCAGTATTCTTTGAGACGAGGAGGGAGAGTACCTGGGGCAGGGCAGCATGCTGTGATTAATTTTATAATTTGTATTACTACTTTGTTAAGAAAGGTTCACCTACACATGTTCAGTTCAGCCCAGAAATCCAAAGACACTCATTTTTATGGTAACTTCCAAAAATATTACATGCATACTCTTCATAACCAAGTGAGCCAAAATATTTACTTCGGGGTGTGTAGCTTTTTTTTTTTTTTCTTTTTTCTTTTTGAGACGGAGTCTCGCTTTGTCGCCAGGCTGGAGTGCAGTGGTGTGATCTCGGCTCACTGCAACCTCTGCCTCCCGGGTTCAAGCGATTTTTCTGCCTCAGCCTCCCTAGTAGCTGGGACCACAGGCACGTGCCACCATGCCCGGTAATTTTTGTATTTTTAGTAGAGATGGGGTTTCACCATGTTGGCCGGGATGGTCTCGATCTCTTGACCTCGTGGTCCACCCGCCTCGGCCTCCCAAAGTGCTGGGATTACAGTTGCGAGCCACCTCGCCCGGCTGACTTTATAGCTTTTTTACAGCTTTTATCGTGACTCTGCATTTTGGTTGAATTCTTTTTAAAAAATTTCCCACAAAACCCTCCACTTCTCTCTTTTAATTTGTATTAAAATAAGAGAAAAAGGCCTCATCCCTAATACATTTCCCTAGTTCCTCATGGAGTATGTAAATACCCTGTCGTCCTCACCATTCTCCTTGCTTTAACGTGGACGGAGTACAGGCACGAACTACAGTGCTCACTGTGGCCGTGCTAATTACTATATCTCTGTAAAATGCTACAGGAAGTTATAGTAAATTTTTTGTTTTTGGTGGTGGTTGGAAGCTACAAAACAGTTTT